AGCAGCAGGATGATGCCAGGCAGGGTTGGGGGGAGGTGGCTTGTCCTTGTGTGTTCTCTCTGCTGCTCAGCCCCCTCCCACTTCCACTGGGATCTACAGGCCTGGCATTGGGCCCTCTAGGAAGGGGGGAGGCTGGAGGTGGCATTGCCCTAGTGCCCAGCTGGCTTGTACAGCCAGGTGCTGCGCAAACATCTCCTGAAATAATCCCTGCTCTGGAGGAGACAGGCACAGAGGGGGAGGGAAACCGAGGCATGCAGGGTAGAAGGGAGTTGCCCAAGGTCACCCGGCAGCTCAGTAGCAGAGCTGGGCATAGAATGCTGGCTTTCAGACCACTGCCCTGCCCACTAGACCATGCGGCCAGCCACTGACCAGGACAGGTTGTGGGTGAGTCTAGTAGCCACGTTTCCCTGACCCTCTGAGCACCAACCCCTGCTTTGTGCCCTTAGCCAACGGCTGAGCCTGGCTTGCAGCTGCTGGGCCAACCCCTTCCCATTGTGCGTGTCTCTTTTCTCCAGCTGCTTGGATGCCAACAGCAAATCTGTGCCCGAGGGCTGCGTGGACAAGCCCCGTGCGAAGAAGTCCTTCCAGGTAGGGTGCACGGGGGAGGGGACAAGGGGGAGAACAGCTGGTGAGTGGGGGGCGGGGAGGGGGTCTAGGACCCGGATTCCTTCTCAGGTCTGATTTGTGCAAAGCTGATGCCTCTGCCTCCCCTTCCCATCTGGGGCCCTGGCTCTGGGAGCCTGCACAGCCCCTAGGCACTGGGCATGATGCCCGGAGTCCCTTCTCCGGGCCAATTCTCCACTTCTCTTAATGACTTGGCGCAGCCCCTGCGCCCGCTCGGTGACCCTGATATGGGGGGGAGGCTTGGGGGCAGGCACAGCAGTTGGGGGGGGAAGGGGGGGGGGTCTCCTGATGCGTGGCTTTGGCAAGGGGGGATCCAGGCTGTGAGCTGTGGGGGGGGACAGCGCGAGGCTCCAGAACCGGGGAGCGTCCTGTTCAGCGGACACATGAGGGCACTAGAGGTCCCCGGCCGTGCTGTAGGATAGGGAGGGAGCAGGGCATGGCCCAAGGGGCTAGCACAGCACCCCTGCTCCGGGCTAGGCCCGGCCCTGGTGCGACATGAGGCCGTGCAAGGGACCCGGAGAAGCAAGGGCCGAGGGGCTGCAGGGACAGGGAGCCGGGCTCCTACCTCTCCTGCGTCAGCCAGTGCTGGGCTAGGCAGGTCCCTTCTCCACCTCGCAGCTGGTCTGTGTTTGACCGGCCCCTGGCTGGCTCCAGCCAGCTGGAAATGGCCAACAGTCCTCTCCCCTCCCTGCTGGCTGCTCCCAACAGCCCTGGCTGAGGTTTGATTCCCTGCCGCAGGCGCCATTAAACTCCTGGGAGTTCCCAGAATTCCCCCCCTTCTCCCTAGGGTGTCTGCTGCCCGTGCCCTTCCAGAGCCACCTGGACCCGCTAGCTCCCGAGCACGCGGAGGGAGGTGCCAGGGCGTACGGCAGGAGGAGGGAGCCTGGGCTGAGGGGTACGGGGAGCCCTGGGGCACCCCGGGCTGGTCGACTGACTCTCCTCCTGCCCTGCAGTGCGGCTACCAAGGCTGCGAGCGAGTCTTCAGGAAGAAGTCGGCCCTGCGGGCCCACTGGCCCGAGCACAGCAAGGTGCTGCCGTTCGCGTGAGTCTCTTGGGCCCTGCAAGTTTGGGGGGGGGGGGGGGGGGGGTCTG